CTCTCTCTCTCTCTCTCTCTCTCTCTCTCTCTCTCTCTCTCTCTCTCTCTCTCTCTCTCTCTCTCTTGCGTGCGCACACGCGCATGCGCCATATGTGCACTCACACATACACACGCACACACACAGTCTGCATGCTTCTACTCTTCTAGAATCTGTAAAATCACCAACATCACTAACATTCTCCACGCATTGTGGCGGATATATATTTATACAATTCGCCATTGAACCCCTTTACAGTTACATCTCCCTTGTACTCGGATCTCCTTACTCTTGCATCTCGCGCATCAGTTGCAGCCACCATTCTTCTCCGGCTCATCACCACCACAACTAGGATCTCCCCTACTTGCTCTTCACACACAGATCTGCCCCCCTCTCTTGTACATATCACAATCTTCCTCCAACCACTTGCTCTTCCCCAGCTTAATCTGACCCCTAGCTGCTTTTTCTTCCCACCCGCACAGCCAACGATAGGCTTCACCTGTCCCACCCATTCTTCACATACAGGGTATGCCTTTGCTAAGTTTGCTCAGAAGCTCACATTATGCACACATGCAGTGCAAGCAGCCATGCTCACACTCACACACTCACACACTCACACACTCACACACTCACACACTCACACACTCACACACTCACACACAAAGTTTGCTCAGCAGCTCACATTATGCACACATGCAGTGCAAGAAGCCATGCTCACACTCACACACACACACACACACCTACACACACACACACCTACACACACACGAGCACACATTTTTACACACATGAGCAGGATGCATTGCCTTCCTGTGTGTGACAACAATACACCCCTTGCACTGTGGATATCGACCTCTAATTTTTCATGCTGCAAGATAACGAGCATTGGAAAACACCCTCGAAGGCTCAGAAGCCGTCCATCTGCAAGGTTCCTAGATGCTGTGAATCCCGTAGTGGGAATAGCACTCTGCAAAGCCACTGCTGATGGATGCACATGTCCCTCTTCCCCTTTGGGCTTTTGATA